CGTATTCTATGCTAAAGAGATCTTGATTACATTTCAGTTGGAAAAAAAAAATGTATGTAGACAATAGCAGCTCCTGTTTTAATGTTTGAAACGGACGTTTTCCCCCCTCCATTTCCGTAATCATTTTGTTGATCGTTTCACTTAGGTGAAGCATAAAATTGTCATAACAACTGCTCGCTTCAGTATGGCGATTATTCCCACAGGAAGTTTCCGCTTATTGTATAATGAAAACTTTTAATTATGGTGCATTTGTAGTGACCCCGAGATGTTATTATGGGACTTCATTTTCTTTTGCGCTGCTGCTGTTTTTGCTTTTTCGTCTTTCTTTTTTCCCTTCCTGACCTTCCTCCTTTTTGTCCTCTTCTTTCTTCTCATTTTCTTTTTTGTCTTCGCCTTCTTCTTATTCCTCCCTCATCCTCTTCCTTCTCTTTTTCCTTATCAACATCATTCTTCCCCTCCGTCTCATCCTCCTGCTTCTTTTTTTAACAATCATTTTCTTTCTTTCTCCTCCTCTTTCTTCTTCGCCTCTCTCTATCTCTCTCTATTTCTCTCTCTCTATCTATCTCTCTCTATCTCTCTATCGCTCTATCTCTCTATCGCTCTATCTCTCTCGCTCTATCTCTCGCTCTATCTCTCTCTATCTCCCTCTCTCTCTATCTCTCTCTATCTCTCTCTATCTCTCTCTATCTCTCTCTATCTCTCTCTATCTCTATCTCTCTCTATCTCTCTATCTATCTCTCTCTATCTCTCTCTATCTCTCTCTATCTCTCTCTATGTCTCTCTCTATCTCTCTTTCTCTTTCTATCTCTCTATCTCTCTCTATCTCTCTCTATCTCTCTCTATCTCTCTCTATCTCTCTATCGCTCTATCTCTCTATCGCTCTATCTCTCTCGCTCTATCTCTCGCTCTATCTCTCTCTATCTCTCTCTATCTCTCTCTATCTCTCTCTATCTCTCTATCTATCTCTCTCTATCTCTCTCTATCTCTCTCTATCTCTCTCTATATCTCTCTCTATCTCTCTCTATCTCTCTCTATCTCTCTCTATCTCTCTCTATCTCTCTCTATCTCTCTCTATCTCTCTCTATCTCTCTCCATCTCTCTCCATCTCTCTCTGTCTCTCTCCATCTCTGTCTGTCTCTCTCTATCTCTGTCTGTCTGTCTGTCTGTCTGTCTGTCTGTCTGTCTGTCTGTCTGTCTGTCTGTCTGTCTGTCTGTCTGTCTGTCTGTCTGTCTGTCTGTCTGTCTGTCTGTCTCTCTCTCTCTCTCTCTCTCTCTCTCTCAACTCGTGATTCATTTATTGTCTTTCAGTGAAAGGTAAGTGGGAACATAGAAGGTTTCGATGTGTGTTTCAGGGATACTGGTATTTCCATACATTTACACTTCATCGATCAATCGCTTAAAGTAGGGACCCCTTAGTCATTTTAATATTTATTGTTTACACATACACACACACACACACACGCGCTCGCACACACACACACACACACACTGCTGAAACTAAAAAATACTTATGACTCATTTTGATGTTTCAGGTGCTTGAACTATAGCGTCGTGTTGAAGGATCTGTTTGAAGTTCTCCTGTCAACTCCCTATGCACTTTATCTTAGTTCTAGTACTTTCAGTACCACTTTCAGATAAATACCTGGCTTCCGCCATTACTTCAGTTGCGTTGCATTTTTCTAAACAGCAGAAGTGACTTCATAACCGATTAAAGTGTGTACAAACTAGTAGTAATTTCAAATGTCTAACCGTTTTTGAGAGGCAATCTCTAAATATCAAGGGGTTGTTATTTGTCTATATTTGATATAAGAAGTTGTCTCCATGTGGGATGCAATTTTTTGTTTTTTTGAAGCCCCACAATGGCCTTTGCAAGGGGCCCTGAATATAGCCAGACCATAAGAATGACCTAGCCATAGATATGGCCTTACGGCTGAAGGGAGTTTCTGGGACCTCTCCATGGGTGATTCTCGTCTGCATGGTGGCACTTTGTGTCACCGGGTGTTTATTGCGTGTGTAATGTCCTGATCAGGTAGAACTACCTATCTGATGAAGGATCCTGGGTAAAAAATGTCAGGGACATAACATTTGCCATTTTTTTCTGGACTAATCCATTACAAAAATATACATAAATTTATTTCCTTGCATATTTTGTTGTATCTCGTCAGGTGCATACTACACTAACAATTTATTGAAACGAAACAAATAGCTGAATCCTAGAAACTGAAAGACTAATTCGACCACATTCTTGAACTGTCTGTTTCGCCAAGGTAACCGCAGAGTAACGATTATTTCTTTCTGCCTACAAGGTTCTGGTTTCCCATTTAGTCGACTCTTACGACATGCTTTTGGGTAGGCAGAGAGTCTATTCTTGTTTTCCCTTTAACATGGTCCCGAAACATATATGAGATTGCTAACAATATCAGTTTGGGGACTGAGCTAACTGGACGGGGAAATTAACTGTCATTTCTCTGTTCAGGATTTAGAACGATAAAGAGTAGCTCTGTAATGACTCATTACTGTGGGCCAAAGACATTGTCTCAGAGGAAATGTGGGAAAGATTCAGCCCTACCAACAGGTTACCTCATGATTGATTTACCAGTCCGTTATCGTTTGCTTGTCCAGTTGAGTTAATAATTTTCATCTGTATTTTTCAGCATTGATGGTACTGATCACATACTGATCGATAATATGAAAACATATACTCAATATACTGCAAAATTCAACTGCTCCAACATACTAGGAGGAAAAAGGTAGTAGTAGTACATTTAACCCCAATACGACATCACACAAGCGATAAACACTCGATGACACAAAGTGCCCGGCTATATGGCGGCCCCTGGTAAGAGCCAGTGTAGGGCTTCAAAATAAAGAATAATTGCACCCCACAAGGGGATGACGACAGTTTGATAACTTCGGAAGAAGAAGAAGAAGAAGATTATGTACCAGAATCGACAAAGAGACGAGAAAAGGATTTCACCATTTATTATTCCCAAAGAGATAGATGCATTCACTGTTACCAACTTTCAGTGTGAATTATATTTTTAAGCTTCCGTGTCTGTATTACATATTTTACTTTACGTCCAAAGAATCTCGCCAAAAAGAGAAAACCCAATACAAATAGCATAACTTGCATTTGATATTACTCTTTTATCAACAGTAGTTTCCCTTGAACATATCTATTGCCCTGAACCCGTTTCGGCCTACACACAGAACAGTCGCAACATCTTTGATTGCAGAAAGAACCTCCCCACGAGGATTTGCTTAAAGCGCTTAAGGCTCTCTGGTGGCATTGTTTCCAGTAATTGATTGTCGCGTCTTAAGTTCTGCGGAGTAAACGAAAATGCAAAACAGGCTTTCATTGTTTGTTCGGCAGTGCTTCTACTTGTTCGTCGACATGTATATCTAAGTTGAGTGTACACTTAATAATGCGTTCTTGGTCTGGACACAACAATACACGTAGATTTTTTTGTTTTGTATTGGTCACATATTTAGAAGCTTGCGTTTGAAGTTGGAGTGCCTCTACAAGGAACCAGCAGTCTGCATATACATGAGTCAGATCTGTAAAATGGATATGCACGCAAAACAGGTTCTGGAACAGGACTAGAGTCTAGAAGTGGACAAATAACCAGAACTTTCCACTAGAGTTTCCAGCGTGTGAAGAAGTAGAAGAAAAAGAAGAGGAAGAAGAAGAACTAGAACAAGAACAAAAAGAACAATAACAAGAAGAAGAAAAAGAACAAAAACACGAAGAACAAGAACAAGAAGAACAATAACAAGAAGAAGAAAAAGAAGAAGAACACGAAGAACAAGAACAAGAAGAACAAGAACAAACAGAAGAACGAGAAGAAGAATAAGAAGAAGAAGAAGAAGAAGAAGAAGAAGAAGAAGAAGAAGAAGAAGAAGAAGAAGAAGAAGAAGAAGAAGAAGAAGAAGAAGAAGAAGAAGAAGAAGAACAACAACAACAACAACAACAACAACAACAACAACAACAACAACAACAACAACAACAACTACAACAACAACAACAAGCATTGTATAAATATGTGCATGTAAACATGCACACGGGCAGAGACAGAGAACAGACATAAGAACATTTGAGTATTTTATATTTGAATTATCTTTCAGACATTTGAAAAAAGTTATTTGGCCAGTCTCTCTAGCGTAGTTGGCTAAACCGGATTGCGCGGTGAGTGGGTGACGAACTCCTTGTGGTCCGGGTTCACTCCCGGGGGTAGACAGAAAAGCCACATTTCTCCCAGATTTACGGTATTTAAAATGGAATCAAGGCCAAAAGGTTGCGATATCCATAATACCGAGCCTAAGGGTTAACAACTCATGGCTTCTGGATACTAAAACAAACAACAAACATAAGAGAAACTGAAACAGTGTAAATGCCGTTGCAAACTCTTCATCATAATTAATTATATTCGAAAACACATTTAAGACTGTATTGGCCCTCATAGTACTTTGGGGGAGGACCGGGGGGGGGGGGGAGGGTCTTATTACATACTTTTAAAACAGGGTATCAGTCCTCACAAAGTTTAAACAGCAGCAACAAATAGTGTACTGTCACATATTAATTAAAACAACATACTAGTCCTCACATAAAATAGTTAACTGCCGAAACAGCCAATTGCTGCATGTATTTGCTACGATTGACCACTTCCATCGTGTCTATAGGACCAGGACGGGAAAGTCAGGTGTTTTTGAGCATGGGGATTTTGGACCCCATGGCTTATTCTGTCGGCACGGACTGTGCAGTTTAGAAATGTGTATGTGTCTGTGTGTGTAATTGTGTGTGTGTGTGTGTGTGTGTGTGTGTGTGTGTGTGCGTGTGTGTATGTGTGTGTGTGTGTTTGTGTTTTCTCCACAAAATAAAAATCCTTGACCTTACCGAGGATTCGAACCCTGGCACATCTGTATCAGACCCCTGTGTTCTGAACCCTTCGGCCAGTCGCAACAATAATATTAACAACAACATTTATTTCCTCTGTTCACAGATTTCCTGGAACATGCTTTTCCTTCTTACCATCTTCCTGGCGGTGACCCATGTTACCTGGGCCAGATCCCCCACAAGTTTAGAGTGCAACCCCAGCCAAGTAAAGATGTCATGCCTCATGGGCTGCTTCGGGTGCTTCGAAGCCTTTGGCGTGGAGATGTACGATATGGCGGCTTGCTGTCGCGACTGCCGTATAACTAATGCTGACTTCATTGACGATGGACCTTCCAGATGCTCTCGTGATTACATTAGGAGCAGCTGGCTCAAGCGTTTTGGCTGAAGCATTTAAATTGTAGCTGGAAATCCCCAGCCAATGCGGGGTATATTTATGTTAGTTCTAAAATAGATTATTTCTGAATTTTTCTTTTGCATAATGGTTGTGTTTTCTTTTCCTAAATATTTACACACATAATTAATCGGCTGTATTTGTAGCACTTGACAATTAATATGTTAAAAAAATACTTAAATACCCAGACTTAATGTGAAAAATACTGAACACACAATGGTTAGGTACACGTTAATCTCCCCAAATGGAGTAGGTCACTTTTCATTCACACGTTTCTTGGGCTGGTCGATTTTCCTGAAGGTTACGGGTGTGTCGAGCTCTTTTGTTTGCGTTCTGCGTTGTCTTGCATTTACGTTTTCATTCCAAGAAAGAGAATACCTGTGACATAGGTTGCAGCACTTTTTAGGGGAGTTGTGTTCTGGTCAGTTTCTCTACGTTTTTGGAGTGTTGACAGGGCTGGCGTGCTAAAATATACAACACGCTACATCAACGGCATCGCGGAACACCCCTCTGACCTTGTGCAAAGGACACGGAAATCAGAAACTACCAATCAGAAGTGAGCTAGTGTGTATATGGGAGGGGCCTGGGAAGACTAACGTTACGTGTTCCCAAGCAATCCTAACGTAGAAAATTCGTGATCACCCAGTCTTAATGTAAAACATACTTAAATGCATAGACTGTGTGTGAGAAAAACTTAAACACCCAGTGTGGTACATTTCTTCTGCGTCTGATAAACAGGCTGAATTCTCTCATTATATAGGTTGTTGAAGCATTAACCTGGTCTCTCTTCTACTAAGTGTTCACCGGTTTAAAACTCCAGTTCTGGTTGTTCCTCTATTTCTGGACCTTTGGTCTTGTTCCAGCTTTACGTGCCCATCCCTTTTACAGATCTGGCTTATTTATATGCATAATGTTGGATTCTTCTCTCTCAGGCAGGTGCACTTCGACTTAGAAGGAAACTCCTATACTTATTCTCTTTTTATGACATGATTATAAGCGGTGGAAGTTGTATTCATTTTGTCTCTCCACAATGATGCCCCAGAGCCCACACCAAAACCCATAACACCTCTCGAATATTAAACTTTCCTGGTAGCTCCATGATTTCCTTTGTTTGGGGTGACCTAAAATTAAAGTATAGGAAACTTAATAACAGTGTAGACTACTAGATTGTCCCTGTACTGGAAACCGCAGTGTTAAATTAAAAAGGGGATAGACTACACAGTTTATGGAGATGTGAGTTTTATCTAGAATGATGTGAAAAGATGAAGAGGCCATAGGACGAGCCGAGGTGCTAGCAAATGATGTAATGACTTGGTGACAGCTGGTTAAGGTACTTTAAGGGATGCTGGAAAGAAGAAAAAGAAACTAATATTGACAATACAACATGGGGTATTCTTACATATAATCACACTGCTACTGATACCATCGACGATGGACCTGTTCTATGGCTGTTGAAGATGGGGACGCAGCGCTTATAGGAACGTTCAGAGTACTATGATGCCGGTTCGTAACTCAGTTCAACAAATAAGGTACTGTTGAGACTAATAATGAATGATCTGTTGCATTGTAGGACCTCTGTTTGCAAGATGCATTGTTACATTAAATGGTTTATATGTATGTTACTTTGTCACAATATTGATTATGTGTGAATAGTTTATTGTAAGTGTGTGTTTGTGTGTGTGTGTGTGTGTGTGTGTGTGTGTGTGTGTGTGTGTGTGTGTGTGTGTGTTTGAAAGAGGAAGAGAGAATGTTCATCAACATGATCATCATCATCATCATCATCATCATCATCATCATCATCATGTAGCAGGTCATTTACTGAACGTGGCTGTCATCACAAAGAAAGAAACTATCGGTCTCTCGCAAGATCTCCCGCCTCATTAACTTTCATATCAAATGTATCACTTGTGTCAGTCTTGGTGCTGGTCGGGCCCTACACCTCTTTCCTGGTACAATGCCTTCGGCTACTATTTTCTTTCATAATCCACCTTGACGTTTATAAGGAAAATCGATTTTTCAAAAAGACACACACAAAAAAACACTACTGTTTTATCACCACTCAGGTCAGTAAAGACAGGGTTCGTGATCATGAGGTTTGTGCTGGTTAGTGCTGTCGCCAAAGACTGTTCAGGTTAGGATGTTTAAATTTGCCCCCGACAGAAAAATGCTATCACCTTACTAGGGGTCGAACCCGGGTCTTCCGCATGAGAGCCTTACCTTGTAACAGCTAGATCTGCTCGGAATCAGGAGATTAATATATTTATTTGTCTTATATTGTGTATGCGGTGTGAATTATTCCAATTTAAATTCACAGACCCGTCAAGAACGCAGGAATTATTGAATGAACTAACATTTCCGATAATGAATTATACATTATAGGATTCTGCAAACCTCCAACACATGCATGGAGCATTTAAGTTTACGCTCGCCTTTCTTCACTGATGTCACTTTGCGGAAAAATCCATATACTTAGTCAGCTCACACCAGACAATGTTCCTCTTCCTCCTCCTCCCCCTACCTTGTGTGATTGTCGTCCTCTCTTCTTCTTCTTTTTTTCTTCTTCTTTGCTTTCATCTGCTGTAAACTCGGGATTGGAGGGGGGGGGGGGGGGGGGGGGGGGGTTTTCGGGTTGTTCACCCACAGCTGTTCTGTTGTGCTACATAACTTGAGCGCTGCATTCACAGCCGTTATACAGGTCTGGCTTATTTGTATGCGGAATAGTGGTTCCTTGAATCTCTGGCAGATGCACTCCGATTTAGAAGGAAACCCCTAATATGTACGACATGCTTGTCAGGCAGGCAGTGTGTCTAATCTTTTTCTCCAACCAATAATGTGGCCGCGGAACCCACATGGGGAATTTACACAAGTAAAACAGGGAAGAATATGTAGCTCCCCCGGGCCCACCCCGCCCCCCACCCCCCGGCCCACCCCGCCCCCCCCCCCCCCCCCCCCCCCCCCCCGCCCCCCCCCTAATATTTCATGAATCGTTGTGTATCTGCCCGAGAGGCACGGAACAACCAACTGCACGCAAATAAGCCAGTAAAACGGATGTACACACAAAACTCAGGCCCTGGCACTGAGTCAGAGTCGAAGTCAGGAGAGTCCAAATGGACGAACAAGAATTACTTTCAAGCGGAGCTTACAGCTCACGTGGTAGGAGCGACATATTTTATAGATAGCAGGCGCTCAACTGATGTGTGTCGTAATCGCTATCCCCTGGCCGCCTTTACTTTTCTTGACATTTTCTGTTATTCATTTTCTGACTGGGTCAACCGGGGAGTTACTTTTATCATCAGCCTAGATAGATTTTGAATAAGTGACCCACAGACAGTGAGGCAAACGCACAATTTACAATAAGTAATTTAGAAAACCCCGTCCAGAAAGCAATGGCAAACTACTGGACGTAGATTGCCTAGAAAAACCATACAACAGCCTGGGGCTGCTGGGGTTGGTTCTGCAACGTCATGTAAAGGATAAGCAACTAATTTAGAAAACCAAATACACGCACGAAACCTATGTTTGTCCTTAGCCAAAATTACATAAATGTTAGTCTTGAAAGCCAGAAAATATGTTTAAATATTATATAATTAATCATTTATTTCCAGACCTCGGTAAAGATGGAGTGATGGTATTAAGAACAGCCTTACAGAAATTAACATTAGTCCTAATAGTGCAACGCTTCGTAATGCCGGGATGCCGGGTTCGATCCCAAATGCGCGCCATGCGTCTTCTGTTGGTTCCGACAGTGGTATCAAGAAAGCCGACCGTCCAGGAGGACAAATGGCAAACTACTGGACGTAAATTTGCCTAGAAAACCACACAAAAGGCAGGGGTTGTTGGGGCTGGTTATGCAACGTCCTATAAAGGATACGCAACTAACCTTAACCTTAATAGTGCTCTTGACAGAACTCATCAACGAATGTTACTCCCCCCCCCCCCCTCCCCGACACTTCACTGAAGCACAAGATGAAGGAAAGAAAACGAATTTATTTCCCCAAAGATAGAGATATAGAGACAGTTAAATTATTGAGTTACTGCAATAATCTCCGCACTCAGTATAATTTCATGTGTCACTAGAACTCTGGGCAAACCACCTAAGTTATAAATAAATCCTTGTTTTTGAGAAAATCGCATATAAACTTTCAGTAGCAAATGGAAACAGTGCAGTTGCAGGAAAAATACAACTCAACGTTGACCTGAATGGAGCATGAATTCGAACGTGGACCTTTGACAATATTGTAAGGACCCTTTGGGAGAGTGAGTAAACAGTGCTAAGGGACAAAGAGATCAACACAGTCTGAAGAGGATAGTGCAGCGAAGAGTAACCGGGCGATCTGCATGCCGATCAGTTTTCAAGAAATACACAGGGGTGGGGGGTGGGACAGACAGACACACAATCAGACTGTTATTGGTGCTATCGGAAATGGAACTCTGGACTTGGTGCTGAAGATATGGAAGGAGCCATTATGGAAATGTCCTGAGTGCTATAAAGTCGGGTCCTAACTAATGACATAACTATTTTATTACTGGTATGCAGTACAAACCCTTACGCGCATGCAGTCAACACTAGTGACATTGTTATTGTAAGTTTGTCCCCATTTTACAGAGTATGTTTTTACAGTCACCACAGCTTTTAGCACAAATTTAGCAAGACATGTGCTATTTAAAGGTATTAGATTTTTTTTTTTTTTTGGGTCCCTATAGTATTATTCGTGAAAATCAGCGGCTTGTAAAATGGAGTCTGTATGTATACATTTAGGCAGCCTTCGAACACAGTCTATGTGACGCTGGTGTGGGGTATAAATGCTTTTAGATGCCACTTTCCATCTGAAGTGTATACTCACTACTTTCTGTAAAAACGTTTATCTGTCACCGTTGTTTCTGTTTATCTCACTGTAAATGTCTATGCATTTGGTTCTCGTTGAATCATTTATCAGTTCAGAGTGCTGGGATCTGTTCTCTCTTTTTTTTTTTTTTTTTTTAATTTTTTTTTT